TATATTCCATGACGGGTAGGTGGTCGTAGCGCACTGTGAGGACTGTTGATAACTTCACATTACGTTGGTGTGAACGTAAAAGCACCCTTCGCAGTTATATTCCATGACGGGTAGGTCGTAGCGCACTGTGAGATATGTCCGTCATGAAGAGGAGCAGGATGTTCAACCCTATTTCTTTTTACTTTATTTCACGATGGGAAATGAAATGAAATGGGGTTTAACGGCCTGCTGTTCTGCTCCGACTGGGCTAATGAAGACGGGCATACGCCATACAGTGTGCTATGAGGGAAATTTTGTCCGGGCAGCGGCACTATGGCCTACCCTTATATATCGAATTCCAGCTGCAAAGGGATTTTTTGTGTGCACGCAAATTTATATACGGCACCTCGTTGTTTCGTCTTATCCGAATGACTAGACCAGCTGTCCTTGTCAGACCCCATCCTGCACCCACCGACAAGGGAAAACCACGTCGGAAAATCCCGATGAACTTTGCGGGCCAATGCAGGGATCGAACACACGACCTCAAGGCTAGCGAGCCAGCGTCTAACCCACTTAGCCACCGTGGCTCCTTCACGATGGGACCTTTTCTTGTGAAAATCTGTGAGCTATTAATATCTACACATTACGAGAGGTGTTACTACATATGAATGATATATATTATAGTAAGGTGAGAAGCCATGACACCTCCCAACGTTTTTCTCTTATAATAAACTGTTACTGTCATATTACCGTCGCACTATCTTACCATGGGCCTCATACACAATGGTCGTAGAGTCAGATTCAGGCAACTGCGATAATCCTTCTGACCCGTTACATATTGTTATGTATACCATGTTACCAAGGGGTCGCGTGCAGCGGCTTAGTCGACGGTGACTCCGATAATCTCATGGGCGCTCCTATAACCTTATGTCACGCTTCTCGACATAAATCATACGTATTGCACAAAATAAATAGATTATGTCTTATGCTCGTTTTATTAATTATTAAAATATTTTTCTGAAGAATGCCAAGAAAAATGGTCCACAAAGCGGATTCCTCAAATTAGTATGTTGCCAATTCTCTAGAAATCTTGCTTAGTTGTTTACGTACTGGGAAACGTCTTCTAGCAAGCTGCTTCCGATTTTAAAATCAAAGCACAAAGAATTACTCAAAGCAACTATAAGTCCAATCAGCCATGCAATATAATTTTATAAGTGCTGTTCATGTACGGGACAGAGCATTCACATTCTTTGGAAATCCCCGATGCTACTTCAAACAGTTAACATATTTGTTGTACTTCTAATTTAAACAACATTCCAAGTATTATTCAGCATTCTACAATTGTGACGTCATGTTGGTTAGAAAGAATTAGCAAAACCTTGATCGGATCAGCTTCCAATTAAACAAAGTGTCAGCCATTTTATTTGATCTGCAAAGACAAAATTAGTATTGAAAGAAAAATAGATGTTGACCGACTACGTCGGAAGCAACTGAAATGAAAGCTAATTGTCTTGTTTAAGTTGTATTTTTAAACTGCAGTTCTTTTTGAATGTCAATACCCTTCACGCCGGTTTGACAATACTCGAGGTGTATTCTCCGTTACACAGAGCTGTTAAAACAAACACGAGGTAGTAAGAGGAGAAACTGGATTGTTTAATTGAATAGATGAGAGTAGGGGGATGAGTTTAAGATGAAACTAGCTGACGGTAAACTTACTTTTTTCACCAGACCTGTCTGAATAAACTTGTCATCCCTTTATATGAAACCATCTGATAGTGGGTTCATCACGTTCTAATGTTGAAGCTCTTCTGTCGACATCTTTCACAGTAAATACAATAAATCCAAACCGACAAACTAGGAGTGTGTTTTTTAATTAAACATGCATGGGAACCAATGTTCGAGACGTACATGTTATAAAGTTCGTTTTAAACTTTATTCAGCAGCAAGTTTGAACGAGAGAGAGGGAGAGAGAGAGAGAGGGGTGGGTCAGAGAGGGAGGCGGCGAGAGGGCGATCATTGTGGAACACTATATCTATACATCTTTGGGGAAGAATAATGTGGTATTAAGTGGTATGGTTTCGATTCCTAGCTTGTACGTGACAAGGAGTATTATCGCTTCCGTGTGGGTTTTCTGCGGCTCTCCCGGTTTCCGCCCATTGCTTAGGATTCTTACGCTCAGGCAAATCGTTTAAATATAATTGAATCATGTGTTTGTTAGTCCCGAAATGACATAATTTTTGCCGAGCGACGCCCCCCCCCCCCTCTCTCATTTTCACAACATTTCACCCAGAACACAACCAAATAAATCAAATTAATTGCCATCCACCAGGGAACGCTGCATAATCATGTATATGTTTAGAGCATTTAACGCACTGGACAACCGAACTTCCCAACTTGGAACTGTACCTACACCCAAAAACATGCCAAACATTTAGTTAAATTTGAAAGTATACAACCATGGCAAACGCCTCAATTAAATGTATCAGTCACACAGTCAAAATGACACAATGACATACATTGAATAAAATTTCATCCAATTGAAGAAACGGGTAACCTGATTGTTAAACTGATTATAAAGAACGTCAGGACAAATATTTTTAAAAAAATGTGCATCATATGAATCTCTCTCTCTCTCTCTCTCTCTCTCTCTCTCTCTCTCTTTTAGCAATCAGACAATTCATCCGGGGCTTTGAAATGAAACATAACACTCTAATACAGAAACCCGACACGTATAATTCTCATGATTAATCCCCAGCTATTAGCAACCGTACATTATTAATCAATTATTTATACAACAAACAATCAAATTAGATGATTTATGAAACCATTTCTGGTCTAAATCAATAAAAATAACACAAATTCATTTTGATAAAAATTCTGACCAAATTATGTTAATATTGTATATTGACATAACACGGTCAGGTTCATCCTCGTTTGCAATGTTTTTCAAGGGATTCCCTTCTTAAGGAATAGTCAGGGCGCGTAATGGTTGAACCATGCTACGCGAAGATGATATTTACCACACAATGATCAAGTCAATGCAAAAGAAATAAGCATAACTGGATAATCCAGACATTAATGTTTGCTCATTTGTTCTCGTCATACAGACAAGATAAACAAAATGGCGGAAATATAAACTAAAGATTAAAGAAAAGTGGCAAATGATGTACAATGGAGGCGTGAAAAGCAATAGTATCTATTTGTCCAGTTTCTCTCAGACCACCCCGATGACCAATAACTATTTTATAAGAAGGTATTGATATGTTTGACCAACGTATTGTTTGGGATAGTCGCGGGCTTAGCGCGGTCAACTATTTCATGAAAAAATAACAAGTAAAAAGCCACAAATACACAAACAATGAAAAGGTATGTGTCAGGGGGAAGGTTTTTATCGATGCGTTTCAACCATTCTACAAATGAACCCCTGTTCAAACACTAAAAGTTTCTTTGCCCTAAAATGAACCGTTATTCCGAGTTGTACAATCGACTATGACACACGTTAGAATGTATTATTAAACAGCCTTAAAATACTTTTCAACGGAGATAAATTTTCCAGAAAATCGAAGTGGAAACATAAGTATACATGTCTTTGTCTGGCTCTTCGACATAATACCCACTTGTAAATAGCGACGTCAGTGTGTCTGTTCCATCAGATGGGACAATAATGAGCATGTTAAACTTGCATTGAGAGATGAAACTAACGTTGGTAAGAGACGAAAATCTGAAGTCCTGTTTACACTTTGGCCTGCACGTCATAGAACCCTTGGTAGTTGCAATTCGACTAAGGGGCGCGCAGCCTCTGTCCGGGAAAAAATCCCTCAAAGCACACTAACACTACATGTCTGTCTTCATTACCCAAGTTGGTGACGTTAAGCCCCACTTCATTTCATTTCATTTCACTAAAAAAGGCGTTATACAGAAAATTTATATGACAGTAACAAATATAGTCTATTACGTATTGTTTAATACTAAAAAGTCGGCATAGTCACAATTCTACAAATGAACAAATATATGATTAATAAAGAATTATGAATAAAGTCAATCGACACGAACAAATTGGTTACCTTTCAAACAAGAATAACGTTAGTCAAGCATGGTGGGTAAATTCTCGACGCCATTGTTACAGTCCCGCAGCCAATCAATATATATTTCTCTTTAATACGTTTTAATTTTGGCCTATTGAAGCGTTTTATCATTTTGTACCTGATAACCGCGATTACACCTATAGTAGACAATTGTCACCAGTATTAAATACTATTGGTTTTTACACGTATTTATAACTAATCTGTGATTGAAACAGGTAGAACGGATATACGTTTTTATACCTGGGTAGTTCCGTGACGTGATTACAATTGTGTATGCTGTGATATAGATGAGATATATTCGTACAATGTCACACATCTCAGTACTACACTGAAAAAAAACTTGTGTTGAAAGAACACAAACTTGTGTTAAATTCAACACAAGTTAGGTGTCTCTATTTAACAACACAAACTTGTGTTAAAACAACACAAAACTTGTGTTAAATGTTGAAACAACACAAAACTTGTGTTAAAATGTGTCAAACAACACAAAACTTGTGTTGAAACTTGTGTGAAATCTACACAATACTTGTGTTGAAACTTGTGTTGAAATTTCTGAAACTTGTGTTGAAATTTCTGAAACTTGTGTTAAAATTTCTGAAACTTGTGTTGAAATTTCTGAAACTTGTGTGGTTTCATACAAACTTGTGTATAACCATCATCAAAAACTTGTGTTGTATTTTTCCCCAATTTATATCCAGCATAGCAACCTTTCTATGCAGGACCCCTCTCTTTGCTCTGTTAGACCTGTAAAGTTTGATAAAAGAAGGAAACAAAAAAAAATTTTGTAAGATTATTATTTATTCATAAAATCATAGGAAAAAGTAAATTAATACATCAAAACTAAATAGATATTTGAAATGTTAACAGAAAAACAGAGACTTCAATTCTAATACAAATTATATTGTGTTATATATAATGACCCCCCCCCCCCCCCACTTTACCCATCACAAAATATAAAATAGCTATTTAAATTGTTTTTTGCCCCACACACTTTACCCATCACAAAATATAAAATAGCTATTTAAATTGTTCTTTACCCCAAAACAAGAACTGAGAATATAAAGATATGTACACAAGATCCCTACCCCATACCCCAAAATATATAATTCAAATATATCTAAATTTAATAACATCCAAACTAAGCACTAATAAGATTAATTATGCACTAAATTGAAACAATTTCAAAAACTGAAAAATGCTACAAAATCACACTACAAGTGATTTGTGAGGCATCTAGAAATAACTAGCATACACAGAAAACTAACAAAAGAAAATTGCTCTATTTTGCAGGAGTAATAAAATGATGTAGGAGCCTTTTCCTCATTAAAAAAACCCCAAACAAAATGAATATTTTATAAATAAAAGAAGCAAAGCATCAAGATTACAGGATTGAAATAAAAAAATATCATATGTACAAAAGATTTATATACAATCACAAGTCATAAGCCACAGTGGTTCAGTGAGCATAAGGCGTTGGCCTGCGAAATTTCAACTGGATTTTCCGGCATAGTTCCCACTTTTCAGTGTTGGATATGGCAAGGGATAATTGGGTACAAGCCCAGAATCAAAAGAGAGAGAGACAGAGAGAAATGGGGTTTAACGTCTACTCGACACAAACTAGATCATTTTGGGACTAACATATGGTTTAATTTTATTTCAATAATTCGCTAGCGCGTAGGGGTCTTTAGCAGTGGGAGGAAACCGGAGGTCCCGGAGAAAACCCACAAGATTGGACAGGCGACCCCACTCCTTGTCTACAACCAGGGATTCGAACCATGCCAGTTGACTCAATGACAGGAGGCCGTATGATACAGCATGCACGTGCTAACCATTCGGCCATCCACCCCCACCCCCCAGAATTGAAACCAACCCAACTGCGTACACTTTGAAGAACCCTTGAAAATTGAATTATTTGAATCAATGACAGACCTTCTGATCAAATGTGTGCGTGTTAACCATTCGGCCCCCCTGGGTACCCTTTAAAGAACCCTTGACAGTTGAAATATTTGATATAAGGGTAGGGTAGAATCACTCTAAGAACACAGAAAAGCAGGATATTAAAACGTATTTCATTTCATAAGCAAGGGAAAGTCACCTTAATGTAGGTCAAGGTTTTTTGTAATTCTGGGTGTATTTGATCTACATTTGGTTTCTAGTAATGCCTATTAAATACTTTATGATTTCCGACCAAATTCTAAGTGATTTATATGTCAGTTTACTTGCTATATTATACATACATATTTGAAGAGAATTAAAATCTAATTGTGTTTTGGAAGAAAATTTAACATTAATAACAAAAAATAAATATTTAAAAATTGGGTCAAATGCATTCTTTCCCAGAAGTATAAAATAAATTGATGCTTGGGTTCTCTTGTTGTTATCATACACCAAATACTCTTTCAAGGGTGTTCCAGCCTAAAAAATAAAAAGTAGGCAATAAGAATACAATGTTTAAATAAACAATTTATTTTGCCACATCGAGACTGAGTCTCTATTTGGTTTCAACTTTGCGTAACGCTTATTGTGTCTTGTCCACTTAAAGACCCAGGCAGATTATTATGCTCAAATCAAATGGGTTAAAAGTCAGAAAAATGAAATGAAATGGGGTTTAACGTCCTACTGTTCTGCTCCTATACTGGGCTAATAATGACGGGCATATGCCACACAGTGTGCCCGGGCAGCGGCACTATCATCTATTCTTATATCGAATTCCAACTGCCAGGGGATCTTTTACGTGCATTCCAATATTCGTCTCATCGGAAGGACTAGACAGCTGTCTTTGTCAGGCCAAGTCAGAAAAAAGTCTTGAGATTTGGGACTGAAGTCTCATAATAGGTCAACTATTCACCCGGTTCATACATGTATTGTCTGCAAATCCAGATTCCCTACTACATCATTGGCAGCACCTATTTACTTGGCAATGTCTAATTATTTTTGGACCCATTCTTATTTTATTTCCATTGACAACAAATTGGATATTACCCTTTAAAATCTATTGAAATCTATTTGAAAAGTAAAATATTGACCATCATTATTTTACTGCTATTTACTGTAATGGATGTGATTGGCAAAAATCAAGCATGCCAAGTACTTGAAATAGCTGAGTCCTAGGCATTGCCCCAAGAAGAATAACTAGATTACCAAGCAAGTGTATAAAACTACTTCCTGATTAAAAATACAAATATGTATGTTACTTACATTTTGCCTGATTATCAAGCTCTGTGAGAAAAGTTTCCACAATATGAATAGCCATTTCCAACTGTTTTTATCTTTCTGATGTAGTTAACTGGAAAAAAACATACTATGTATGAGATGACTTAAATTGACTCAACAGTTAAAAGATGAAAGTTTTAATTTACAGTCTATATTTTACACAAATTTCTGGAGAGAATTAAAATATAATTGTGTTTGAGAGGGATATTTAACATTAAAAACAAAAATAAAATGCAACTGATAACTTATTAGCTTTTACAATCACTATATTCTTTTTCAAAATTATAAGGAGATCACATGGCTAAGAGGGTACGACGCTGGCTCACTAGCCTGGAGGTCGGGTGTTCGATCCCTGAATTGGCTGAGAAAGTTCATCCAGATTTTCCGACGTGTCTTCCCCTTGTCAGTGATACAGGACGGAGGACCTGACAAGGACAGCTGTCTAGTCGTTTGGATGGGATAAAAAAACGAGGTCCTGTGTACACATTGGCGTGCATGTAAAAGATCCCTTGGCAGTTGGAATTCGATATAAGAGTAGGCTGTAGCGCCACTGCCCGGGCAAAATTTCCCTCATAGCACACTGTATGGTGTATGCCAGTCTTCATTAGCCCAGTTTATGAGCAAAACAGTAGGATGTTAAACCCCATTTCATTTCATTTTCAAAATTATAAAATAATTTGATGGCTTAATATTCAAGTATTATGACCAGGTAGAATTAGAGCATAGTTAATTTGAGGCCAGAGCCATTATAGATTAGCCAGAATCCTAATTAAAATAAACTCTGTAATTATATTAGAGAGACATTGTTTCATAAATTATTATCTATTGTAAAGTTATTCCAGTAAGGTATTAAGGATTATATTGTAACTAAAAACAAAGCTAAGGTATAAAAGTCCTAAAAATTGTATATTAAAGAAAAGGGCAGTTAACCACAGGCAGACAGAGGACATACTGAAGGGCAGGTCTCTGATAAGTTATTTCTTAGATGCTGTTCCTTATTAAGTTACCTATCCTGTGGGTCAGTATTATATGTATATATTATCTTTGTTAGATATTGTTACAGAATATAAGATTATACCAAGAGAAGTGAGTTATTGAATTATTGTATGTTCAATCGTACACCTCCAACTAGATTGAACATACAACCCATCGTCGAAGGTTGGACTATAAGTAGGTCCATAAACCCTGGATGATAGTATGTGGTTGAGTTGGCAATAAATATACTTTCTACGGTTCACAATTTTTAAATAAATAACTTATTTTTCCACACGTTGAGTCTCTATTTTGTTTCAACTTTGCATACTACTTATTGTGTCTTTTCAAGTTACAGACCCAGGTAGATTATTATGCCTCAATGGGTCAGAAGCCAGAACAAAAGTCTTGAAAAAAAGACAAAATGAAAAAATAATCATTTAATTTACCAATTATCTCCACTAAGGCAGTGGTGAATACAGTATTGCAAACAGTATTACAATATGATATTAATTATATTTTACAAATTCATGCATTTGAACGCTTTATAATAATGATTATGAAAGGGTGTAACATTGCATCCATCTTATAGTTTTGAAGTCATATAGGTCTTTCGCAGTGGGAGGAAACCGTAGGACCTGGAGAAAACCCACGAGGTTGAACAGGCAACCCTACTCCTTGTCACGTACAACCGAGGATGACAGGCCGTATGATACAGCACGCACATGCTAACCATTCGGCCATCCACCCCCACCCCCCCCCCCCACCAAGTGTATAGAACCAGTTCCTGATTCAAAAAGCAAATATGCATGGTACTTACATAGCCTTTGTCTGATAAGCAACCTCTGTAAGAAAACACTTCCACAATATCAATAGCCCTTTCCAGCTGTCTTGATCTTCCGAGGTGGCTAACTGAAAAAAAATATGCAATGTATTACATTAGTTGGCTTAAATTGACTAGACAGTTTTGATTAAGTCAAAAAATGTTAATTTAACTACATTTGTTTTGTTTCATGTGTTGGTTTGCTTTGCCACAGATGAGACAGTCATATCTAACTAAGATTCTGTCTGTGCTCATACATGTACGTGTACAGTTTTACTATACTAAACTGAATTTTAGATTTCAAAATAGCATAACAGCAATCTTTTCTATAAGAATTAAATAGTTACCCACCAAGAAAAAGCTGCTCTATCATCATTTTTTCCAGCCATTTCTTCTTCCATTTTTTTACTTTTATAATTTCTTTTGTTACATGATCTTTTCCATATACATCCAATATTGAAACTGAAAAAATAAATACATTATATGTAATTTACCATTAAAGCTACCATACCATATATACAAACTGTGTGATTTGAAATTGAAACTAATGTATCTATATGTATCAAAAATTTTAATCCCAAGGAACTACCTAAGCCGTAAAAATCTATTTTTATAATCCTTGTTTGTCACATGGTTTCAATGTCGCAGTAATTAGAAGACGACCATGGTGACTGAGTGAGTTAGGTGCTGGAATACTAGCATGGAGGCCACAGGTTACCTCTTGGGGTTGACCGAGAAAGCTCATCTTGATTTTTCAGAGTGGTTTCCCCTGAGATCCAATGTACACATTGGCGTACACATAAAAGTTCTCTTGGCAGTTTGAATTCACTGTGAGAGTAGGCCATAGTGTCGCTGCCCGGACAAACATTTTCTCTTAGCACACTGCATTAGACCAGTCGGAGCTGAACAGTAGGACGTTGTCTTTAAACCCCATTTCATTTCAGGTAATCTAGTATTTTTCTAGTAAGATTGAAGTCTCTCTACTTTCTTTATATGTAAATATCATATTTGAAATAAGCCATACTTTTATTCAATATGGGGTGGGGCTGGGGGGAATGGTCTAGTAGCTAATGCATTCACATGAAATCACAGGTTCTGTCATTGTGTTAAGTGGCATGGTTTCGATTTCAAGGAGTAGAGTCGCCTGTCCAATCTCTTGAGTTTTTCTCTGGGCCATTCGGTTTCCTCCGTTTGCTAAATACCCATACCAGCAAACGAATTATTCATATCAAATTTAACCTTACCTGTCCTTTTTCCCGAAACAACCTAGCGTCTGTAGGCTAAGTAGAATGGAACAGTGTGCAGGGAAATGGTGGAAACGGAAGAAAGCTAATCGTCGTCGTAGTTGATTACCGGTATGCATATAGGCATAGCTTGGACTACTTGATTCTTCAAATACAAGTATACGTAAGGCCTTGTTTATGTCATTTTTCTCTCTCTGTTGCATGTAAGTGTCATATAAATACTTTACTTGGGATTGTATGTTCACATACACTAATCATTGTAGGACATTGGTAAAAAAAAAAAAATAGAAAATATAAAAATTAAATGAAATTGTTACCAGTTTTTCTTCAAATTCCAATTCAATGCCAAAATGGAGTCCTTGAACGGTAAATTCTTAATACGGTAATTGCTGTAACTGTAAGGTGGAATGAGTCATATCATCACTGACTGGAAAAAATAATGAAACTATAGAGAAACTTCCACAGACTGATTCTAGTTCCATTATTTATTAACTGTGACTGAATCAGGAAAATAGGGGCCTAATAATATTCCACAGAGTGACAGAGTCGGAGGTTGAACGGAGGGTTTGGGGAAAATATCTGCTTATTTGATTTAAGGTTGTTTTTTTAAACATAAATTTGATTACAATTCAACTAACACAAAAGTGTAAAAAGATTTTTTCTAGTCTGTGCCCGCGTTTATGTCTACTCTTGGCAAAATCGTTATAATATAAAAAAAATCATGAAACAAGAATCAAAATGGCCGCCAATCGGGTCTCCAACGCCAATCCAACCTCCCAAGATATAATTTCAAAACAGATTCTTACCTGCTGGTTCAAGTCGAACCGTTTCTGCTTTAATCATAATGTGATTCTGTAATGTAAGTATTTGAACAACATCGTAGCGCCGAACAACTAATGTTAATTAAGCATGATTTCAGAAAAATTGAACAGATTTGATAATAACATGCCGAAATTTTTTTCCTGACCGCGCCATATTATAAACATGAACTTCCGGTTTAAATTGTTGGAGGTTTTTTTAAGGAAACGAAATACTAATATTATACAGAGAAACAATATCGATGCTAAATTACATACATGGTATTATTTTTTTTATATAAATATTCACAAACCTGCGGTCTTGTATTCTATGTGACCATTAGCTTACATTTGTCAAACATATCACTGCTCCAAAATCATTTCAGCACGTTGTTAAATGTTAAATTAATTGTGTGAAATCACTTCATTTAATGTCTGCTTCCACCGAGATGACATCGCAGACAAAATGTAGCCTATAGTACGTTGATTTTATCAACCAATCACATTCAATAACAGTTTTACTTTTTTTCTTGTCAACGCATTTGGAGTCAATTGTTAAAATCACACCGGGCATGAGCGCTCAACAGGCCTTTGATCTACCAGTTTATTGGCCCCAACTTTATTTTAACTACAGACATCTTAACACCAATTAGCATTCAAGTCTGTCTGGCTATATTGTCTGAGTAAAAAATACCTTTCTCTTACTTGTGGACCCCCGGATTAAGACTTTGTATGGAGTTCAAATTTAAAAAAAAAAATATTTGTTGACGGTACACATTACTTGTGTTAATTATATGGAAAAAACACAAGATTTGTGTTAATGCATTAAAAAGAACACAAGTTTGTGTTAATGCAATGCAAAACAACACATAACTTGTGTAGAATAATTTTCACACAAGTACTTGTGTTGAGATCCAACACAAGTTTTTTTTCAGTGTAGCGTTGCTCTCTATAATAATGGGGGCCATGGTGGCTAAGTGGGTAAGACCCTGGCTCGCTAGCCTGGAGGTCGGGTGTTCGACCCCTGCATTGGCCGAGAAAGTTCATCCAGATTTTCCGGCGTGGTTCCCCCCATGTCAGTGATGCAGGACGGAGGGGCGTGCACGTAAAAAATCCCTTGACAGTTGGAATTCGATATAAGTGTAGGCCGTAGTGCCGCTGTCCGGGCACAATTGCCCTCATAGCCCACTGTATGGCCTATGCCCGTCTTCATTAGCCCAGTTCGGAGCAGAACAGTAGGACGTTAAACCCCATTTCATTTCTCTATAAAAATTATATGTTTAAACCAGAAATGAAATGCGGTTTAATGCATCTACTGGGCTAATGGAGACGAACATGCTTCATACCAATATTGCCCAGAGAACAGTGCTACGACCTACTCTTATATCGAATTCCAACTGTCAAGGGTCTTTTACGTGTACGCCAGTTTTTGATATAACACCACAATTCCAAAATGGCCGCGATGACGTCATGCTCGGTTCTAGTTTCGTGTATTACGGTCGCACTTCGTATTATGTCAGACATGTGATAACTTCCTTTGTGGTGTTTTAAATGTTTTGAAGAACTTTAGTGCAGTTGCTATGCCGTTTCTGGATGTTAGTTAACCAATATATCTGTATAAAAACCTGACCTGGCCCCGTTTTCACAAAGTCTCCTCAGACTTAAGTTAAGAATTTACCATATAGAAAGTTGCCCCCCCTCCCCATCTTAGACTATGTTTGAGTCGATTAATATCCAAGTAAAAGACGGCAACAAAACAAACTATACATTTTCTATTTTCACCAACATTTTCTCTTTCATCTTACAGCATCTAATAGAGGAGATTAGTAATTTGTATTAAAACGAGCCCCTCCCGCCTTACTAGGCATTATGGCGCGGCAGATGCTTCTGATAACCAATCGGCCCTTTGTAACGATTGACAATAACTCTAACATACCCCAACTAACCTCACGTTTAACTAGTATTCTTGTAATAAACTGTCGTCTCAATAAGGATGATGGGGAGAGAGGGTTTGATGAGGTAACATGGAATGTAACATAATTCTGTTTAGCGAAAACAAACAACCAATTTCCTGAAGATGTTTACTGCTTTGATGATGTGAAAGGGAAGGATACAGCAGCCAGATGTACCTATACAAACACAGTGATGAGTTTTCTGAAACGAAGGCTTAAAATTTTAGAATGCGACACCTGAATGGAGCAGAGGCAATGGCTGTGGTTTCTTTGCTTAGTGGTCGGTTTGAAAGAAGCTGTAAGCTTATGGCGTGTGTCTCTCGATTCTCTGTCATTCATCAGCAGGTCTTTTGTACAGTCGTCGGTGTTCGTCTGTCTTTTTAAAAACCGAGAACAAACAAACTCCCAACCTACTCTGTAATTAAACCTGTTGTTAAGGGGATTGGATGTCCTTTTACACCTTTCACAAACCGGCATTAGCTTCGTATTGAAACGAAGATCCGAGTTAATCAGGAGGGACACTCTTTGATGAGTTTCTGTCGGTGTTGTGGTCCGTGTTGCTATCTGTATGTTCATCAGCGACTCACCAGGGACATAACCGACGTAGATTTAGATGCAGAGATTAACTGGTAGTCGCTTCTTGTGAACGCCAAGTTTTACAAAGACTTGTAAATGATTTTATGGCTTATCACAAATACTTGCTGGTCAATGGAGTTTTGTGAACGAAAGTTTTTTTTTATGACAGCTTTGAAAAATGAGTCTCATTGTGGATGAGTAAAAACTGAACGAGGATTAACCCCCGTCACCCATCGTTTGTTCAACAATAGACCATAAAACATATATCGTGTTCGATAAATTTATTTTTCATGCTGGGTTTAAAGGGGTTTAAAGGGGTTAACATCCAGTTTGAAGAATGTGTAAAATATCTGAGAAGTTAACTTGACCTTGCACTGAGAGCAGCTTTACATTCTCTGAATCCCAGTCACTTAATTGTTAAAATGTTTTTCCTGGTAGTCTGGTATTTTGAAAATAGAATGAATTTGGATTTAACGTTCTACTGTTCTGTTCCTATACTGAGCTAATGAAGACGGGCATACACCATGCTGCCCGGGCAGCGACACTATGACCTACTCTTATATCGAATTCCAACAGCCAAGTTATCTTTTACGTGTACGCCAATGTATACACGACCAGCGATATTTGCATTATCGTAACCACGGTACTCATATATTCGCGCTTCTCCATTTTAAAATTAAACCATTAAACCGTTCTAATCTATTTAAGATCGCGAGCATTCGACGCGATCGAGAGTTGATTATGGTCTTGTCATTTTAATAGTCTAATCATGTCCGTAGCTAGGGGAGCGGGGGGGGGGGGGGCTTTCCATTGCACGCAATCACGCAATTCGAAGCCAACGACCAACGTGCCCATATCAGTATGGGCGCCCCATAAAGCCGAGTGACATCGGTTGGGCTGCCACGCCCCTCCCCCCGCTAGCTACGGGCCTGCTAATTAACAATCTCTGTAACATTTAAGGCCGAAAGAAAGACCTGAAATAGGCAAATTTAGTTCTTGAATAATGTATTTTTAAATAGATGGAAGCGGTTTAGCGTGTGCGCTGTGGATCACAAGTCCTGTTATTTATCCGAATGATCCCGGATATGAACGTAGAGTTTCCGTGGCTAACTTCGTGGACACAAAATATACGTTAGTCCTGATATGACTTGGGTAGTGTCAGATAGAGATTACCACTAACACATTACCACTCTATACTATTTAAAATCTATTCGTTATTTAATTGAATAAACAAAACTACATCAAATACTGTTGTGCACCAATCGAGCGTATTAGGACGTGCATATACATTGCAGTCATATTCCTGAAGCAATTGCCCGAGAAATCCCTTTCTAGGATTAGGTCTAATCAAACAAAACTCTGCCAGGTATGCAATGCAGTATGCTATGGGGATATCTGAAAACGGCACTACAGACTAATTTTACTTGGATTTCTAACTGATTTAGGGTCGAAATAAAATATTTAATGAAGCTGGTTTCGAAAGATTAAGCGGAGTTCGTCGGTATGTTTAATAATCAAACAACACACTATTTATGGATAACAATTACTATGGTTTATTTCACTGCGGCATTTCAACAAAATTTTAGAAATCGTTATCAAGCATACATCAACACAAGTAAATAAAATGAAATTTGTGTTGATATATGCTTGATAACAACTTGTGAAATCTTGTTGAAACATCACAGTGAAATAAACCATAGTAATTGTTATCCATAAATAGTGTGTTATCTGATTATGTTCCAATTACTAAATACCATTCCAAGAAGGTATGTTTAATAATTTTAGTTTCCTGGTTTGGCTTACTGTGTCGACA